ACTTTCATGACGCAGAGAACTCCTTTAATCATGTGAAAGGTTCTCTGAGTGTTCATGGCTCTATTTAGAACCATTTTCTTTCCCAAAGAACCACTGAAGAACCATATTTTTAAGTGTGTACTGCAAAGACTTTCAAATACATTTTTTCAATGTTCTCATTTACTGGTTTTTACTGTAGAAATGACAAAGATTTCAGTTTTTACATGCAGAAGAAGAGCTTTAGAAGTACAGTAGTGATGGGAGTCGACTTCAAAAGAGTCTATTCTTCGACTCAGACGTATCTGGGAGTCACGATTGACTCTTGGTTAATGACTCTGAGGGCTGAAATGCTTGGAGTTGACATTATTTCAAATAAAATGCGGTGATTGGCTCAAATAAACAGCTTATCATTCACCAGTGAGGTCTAACACTGCCCTGCTAGCTTAATCCCTAAACCATAAGCATCTGCATACGCAGCTCATGCTACAGAAATCTAATCTCCTCATAAACACTCTTCATATTTGAGCTGCTATAAACAGTGTGAAGACCCTCTGGGCCGTCTGGTTTGTCTGGTTTGTTTTGCCTTGAGTTTGTTGTAGGTGAATTTGGGAGGCGGAGCATGGACCTGACTAGTGAGACACACTGGTATGCGGTTGTTTGGCTTCATATCAAAAGCTTTCCTATATGGAGAGCTAGAGCCCTTTATTTTCTTTCTCTCTTACTTACGCAGGTAAAGTTTCTGACTATGCTGTGGTCAGAAGTGAAGTGAGTTGGCTCACTTCAATAGTGCTGACTTTGTGATCTGCAAAACAGTTTTAAAAAGCTGTCGTGAAATAAAGACAGGTTTTTGCTACCACTTCCACTCACTGTCTCTCCCTCACTGCAAACAAAAATTATGTCTTAGTGAGTGTAAACATCTTAAATGTAGTCAATAAATCTAATATTTCTCATTATGAGACTGTTTGTAAGAATATTGTGAGATTATTTAACTTATTTCTAGACATTTTTACTTGTTTTTAAGCAGTTTAATCTTATAAAGTGTCTTATTTCATTGGCAGATCATGTTACTTGTTTTAAGCATCATTTGTTGAAATGAGCAAAATTATCTTCATTATTTCTTAAAGTAAATAAATTAATCTGCCAATGGAATAAGACACTTTCACCAGATAAAATCACTTAAAACAAGTAAAAATGTACAGAAACAGGTGGAATAATCCTATAATATTCTTACAACAGCCTCATAATGAGAAATATTAGATTTATTGACTACATTTATGATGTTTACACTTATTAAGATATTATTTTTAGCAGTGGTCAGTTGTTTATTATGAATTGGCCCAAAACCAGTTCATAATAAGAGGATTAGAAATGGAACAAAATATGTAGAGATATATTTTTTCTGAGGACATTGTGGAGAACACTTTCAACTGTTCTGGAGTAAAAATCTTACTTTTAGACATGGTTAACTGTAAATAATGTTATTTTTCCTGGTTAATTTTCATAAAGCTATGATTACATGAGTGATTTTTTTTGGTACGTGGTTCTGGCGTTTCGCCTAGTAGTCCGCCCCAGTCGCTCTCCACTGCTGCCTCTGTAAGCTTCTGTGTGAAGTTGGCCTCAAAAGGTATTTGTTTTCTTTTAATCGTTAGTCACCTATTACTTTTTATAAGTGTGTGTTTAATGATGTAGCCTGGCTTCCATCTGAGGCAAATAGAAGTGGATTTTTTATGGGGGTGGCGGGAGGGGGATTCAAAATGTTTAAAAATGTCTACATAATTCAGTGTTTGAGATGTAGACAGAGTGATTCAGAGTGGTTTGGTGTGAAATGGTTCAGGTTTCTTCACAGTGGTGGTGATAGGAACCAGGGGTCGCCATGACTACAACACAAATATAGACATTTTATTTACTATCCAAAACCACCAGTGAACCTACACGAGTCTTATTTGGAATGTTTATATGAATGTTTTATCATTTATATGGAATGTTGATGATGGAAAATAGTGGAAAATCTGAAATAATACAATTTCTTTGGGGACTATTTTGCCTCACAACACCTTGCATGTATCCCTCCTATCACTACCACTGTGAACAATCCTGACTCCCTAAGTTTCTCTAGAACAGAGCATTTCACACCAAACCACTCTGGATGACTCCGTTGACATCTTATCCATTTAATTATGCAGACAATGTTTTGAGATTTGGTGGAATTCTGCTTTAACTCATAGTGATCATATCACGTTGATCTGTGGCGGCTCCAAAAAGTAAACTACATTTAGGGTGCTTTAATTTTTCATGTATCTGTGGTTCTGGTGCTGTTTTGGAGTCGACTCCGTAAAACTGGCAATATGACAATATTTATTGTTGTCATGATAAATTACATCACAGTCTGCCACAGTAAGCATGTCTGAGCTTATATCGTCAGCACCTAAAAACACTTCCCAACTATAACTGGTTATGAAGTGAGCATAATTAGTCCTGTTTAATTGGATTTAGTGCAGCACAGTGTGTGAAATGTTGAATATCGTAGCATCAGTGCAAAAGAAGACCCAGATTATTGAATAAAAAGGGAAAGAGGGGAAGTAAGTACAGGTGGAAAATGAGGGGGGGAGCCTACCAGTGGACAAACAAGGCACAATGACTGTGACACAAAAACACACGGGTAAACTATAACAGCATACAACTGAACAAAGCCAAGTTGTAACACATATCACAACTAATAAACAACAACATATATGTTAACATTAGTGCTCCTCTCTGCTGTCCCAATTGGCCTGAACCTTAAGTCCAGTGGTGGCGCCACTATGTAAATCATTGTATTCATAGTTTTTGATTGTATTTTTAAAAATGTGGTGTTATTTTGTCTATTTTGTCTTTTCCAATGTACCCATGTGAAAAAATACATTCATCATGATGTATCGTGTACTGTAAGAACTTCTCAAAGTATCATGATATTACACTTTTTTTTCATATCACTCACCTGAGCAAACACAGAGTCATTACTGCACAGGAAACTGCAAGCTAAGGAGACACTGATACTTAGCTATGACTGCTACTACTGCAGCAATACACACTCACTGAGCACTTTATTAGGAAGACCTGCTTGTATCTACACTCAGTGTCCATTTTATCAGCTCCACTGACTGTATAGTTTCACTCTGTAGTTCTACAGTTACAGACTGTAGTCCATCTGTTTCTCTGCATACTTTGTTAGCCCCCTTTTACCCTGTTCTTCAGTGGTCAGGACCCCCATGGACCCTCACAGAGCAGGTACTATTTGGGTGGTGGTGGAGTTTTTAAACACTGTGTCCACTCACTGTCCACTCTATTAGACACTCCTACCTTGTCGGTCCACCTTGTAGATGTAAAGTCAGAGACGATAGCTCATCTGCTGCTGCACAGTTTGTGTTGGTCATCCTCTAGTCCTTCATCAGTGGTCACAGGACGCTGCCCACAGGACGCTGTTGGCTGCATATTTTTGGTTGGTGGACTATTCTCAGTCCAGCAGTGACACTGAGGTGTTTAAAAACTCCATCAGCACTGCTGTGTCTGATCCACTCAGACCAGCGCAACACGCACTAACACAACACCACCACGTCAGTGCTACTGCAGTGCTGAGAATGATCCACCACCCAAATAGTACCTGCTCTGTGAGGGTCCATGGGGGTCCTGACCACTGAAGAACAGGGTAACAAAATATGCAGAGAAACAGATGGACTACAGTCTGTAACCGTAGAACTACAGAGTGAAACTATATGGTCAGTGGAGCTGATAAAATGGACGATTAGTGAGTGTGGTGCTCCTAATAAAGCGCTCGTGGGTGTAAATAAACAAGTTTTTAACCAGCGTAAAAAAATTCTGAATATGTTGACGCATGTACAGGAGCTGGCACTGCATCTCTAACATCTCAACATAACAAAAACATTGTTGAGACTCCCCCCTCCAAAAAAATCAACTTGTCAAGAAGTAAACCAATTCGGTTCTGATGAAAAATGCACTGAGAAATGTCAAACTGTGCACAATGGCAGAGAGAGAAGGGAACCCGGGGTCTGAAGTGTTTAAAGCCTCTGAAAGTGAACTCACAGAAATGATCACTAATACAAAGCCTGATGCTTTTAATGATAGTTAAACCTGGTTTTAACCTAAAGTGCATTTCTGGGTACAAACTAATATCCTCTGGTTACTTTGGTAAAATAAATGGAGGATGTTCAGATGAAACCCAAAGAAACTGATTTGAATTGATTGACCCACCATTTCAGCATCAGGATCATTACATATAAATCCTACAAAGCCACTATCTGTGTGTTGTCTACAGTATGACCCGTCAGGGCTGGGCAGTGTAACAATATTTATCATTACTGTGGTGAATTACATCACAATATGCATTTCTGTATTGTTGATATCATCAGTACTTAAAAACACTTCCAAACTGCATGCTTGATTAAAAAGAGGGCATCATTAGTCCTGTTTGACTGGATTTCGTGCAGCTCAGTGTGTGAAATGTTGAAAATAAAACATTGTATTCATAGTTTTGATAGTATTTTTAAAATGTGGCACTACTACTTTTCTAATTTATCCAATTTATTTATGCAATTTATAAAAAAATACATATTGTGACAAATCATGTGTCGTAAAAAGTCTTGAAGCATCGTAATATTGCATTTTTGCCACATCAGCGTTGCATAAATGTTGGAAATAAATCATTGTATTCATAGTTTTTGATAGTATATTTTAATATTTTAAATATTGCACTGTTTTGTATCTTCCATTTTACATTTACATATATTATTATATGTAATATGTGTGTGTGTGTGTGTGTACATATATATATATATACACACACATACAAAGTGCAACAGCCATTTAGGCATTTTCAAGTATATATAATTATATATATATATATCATTACATTGTTTTTCCAAATGGTCCACCTCTGGAAATCGAATCGCCCATCCCTAAAAATGGAAGGCCGTGCGCGTGCGCGTGCATGTGCGCGCTCCCGCTCGCGTTCGTGCTCGTGCAGTTCCGGTTGCGTGGCGGAGGCGGTCTGTGTGACGCAGCAGCTGCTGGAGGCTCCGGGGCTGTCGGGCTGTTTTTATTGTTCGTTTAACGCATCGAAGAGAGAGAAAAACACAGACGGAAAGAGAGAAAAGAGAGAAGAGAGAGGAGAAAAGAGAAAACAGAGAAACAGGCAGGGTTTTCCGAAGAAAGCTCTGCGTGTTCCCCGGAGCTGCTGTTGCTGCTGATTAGTAGTTATAAAGCTGTGTACAGAGTCGCCGCTGCTGCCGCTGCTGCGCTTTAACGGAGGGCGATGGCGTACGCGTACCTGTTTAAGTACATCATCATCGGGGACACGGGTAAGAAGCGGCCCGCTGACCCTCCACAGCCGGGCTGGAGGGCTTTAACCTTGTCTGTTTTTGATCCTCTGTTTCCGCAGTGCTGAGGTTAGCTTCTTATTCCAATTTGCCGTTCCACCTTAAATGGTGCAGCAGTTCCACTCTGGCACCGGAGGCTCTGGAATGGAACTGCTGCACCATTTAAGGTGGACCGGAAAATTCGGATGAGAAGCCGATACGCTAGTGTTATAGGATGAAAAATGATCCGCTTCGCTTGGCTTAAATAGCGGGTTTCGATCCCAAAACGCAAGCTTAAGTAAACTTTGTGGTTGTCAAAGTGCTATTTTTAAAAAAACCGATGAAAAAAAACAATTACATTTGCTTTATACGAGACTGGGTGGGGGAAGCTAACGGTGGCTAACGCTAGCGTCTCCGCTAGCGCCCTAAATAGAGAAAATATATGTCTGTTAAAACGTTCAGACGTTTTAAAAACATCTCAAAGACACCTCAGCGCCTTTAAATGTATTTTTATGTATTTGAACAACACGCAGCCGGCTGTGAGTTCGTTTGTTAGGCTAAGCTAACGTTAGCATCCTTTAATCGCCTAGGCCGGGAGCGTTAGCTTAGCATAGCTTAGCTGAGCTGTCAGCAGATGTTGGTGAAAATGGCGTTCGGCGAGATTTGGCTGTCAGGATGATGTCAGGAGTGTCTTCCCAAGGTTTGTTTGGTGACCCTGGATGTTGTGAAAGTGCAGAACGGACTCGGCTGGACTGTGAAATGTGGATCCAGCAGGTTTGTTTTGTCTCGGATGTGAAGGATCTGAAGGGGAAACGCCAGGCAGGGCCCTGCCACCCTGGACTGGCACTGGACTGCATGGCACCCACACTCTTACACGAAGACGGTTCTGTAGTGAAGGCAGTGGTTCTGTTTAGAACCATGACTTATATGTAGAACCATTTTGCATGCTTAAATCCTTCTTTGCATGGTGAAATGTTTGTATGCATTGTATATGAGACCATTTTTGAAAAATGGGTCTGTGTAGAACCATTTTGTGCCTAAATGGTTCTTTGCTTGGTGAAGTTGTTCTTCAGTTTGAGGGAGAATTTGCTGTGTGTGGTTCTGTACAGAACCTTTCTGAAACTGGTTCTATGTAGCTCCCAAAAAGGTTGCATGTAGAAATGGTTCTTCAGATTGACAGAGAATATTTTGACACCTTTTTAAAAAATGGTTCTATGTAGCACCAAGAAGGGTTCTGCTATTATTTATGATGTTAAGCTTGATGTTTGGTGCTGTAAAGAACCATTTTTATACTCTCCATCAATCTTTAGAACCATTTCTGCCCAACCTTTTTGGAGCTAAACGGATCCATTTTTAGAAAGATTCTCTATAGAACCACGTGCAACATATTCTTCAACCTCTAGAACCGTTTCACGATGCAAGAAACATTTAAGCACTCAAATGTAACTTTGAGAGGTCATAGTTCTATATAGACCCATTGCCTTTACTAAAGAAGCCTTAAAGAACCATCTTTAACTCTAGTAACTTATTGTTTTAAACGTTTTATTATGTTTTAGTATTACTGCTTTTGTGTTACTGATTAGCTGATTTAGACTATCAGAATATCCTAATTGTTCTTTTAATGCTGGTATCATTTTCTGATACGAAGATTTAGGCTGTCATTGATCCTACTTAAACATTTTGATGCTGGCAGCATCTTCTAATAGGTTTATTGGCTATGAGCGTATCCTACCTGTAGTTTCGTAGTTTTCAATAAGGTGATTTAGACTTGCAAAATATCCAGTGACCAGTTTTATGTAGAGATGTGCTATCATAGGACATTTCAACACAATTCGTCAGGACCCAGTTCACTAGTTGAGAACCAGCCAAACCAGGGGGCGGGGGGGCGGGGTCCAGAGATACTCAGCAACTTGGATTTATTTGCTGTTAAAGTAGTAGGAACCAGGTCATAGAGGTGGGCGATATGGCAAAAATGCAATATCACGATGCTTCAAGAAGTTTTCACGACACATGATATGTCATGATAGTGTATTTTTTTAATAAATTAGATTAATAAATTGGAAACGTAGTAGTACCACATTTTAAAAATGCTATCAAAAACTATGAATACAATGTTCAACATTTCACACACTGAGCTGCACTAAATCCAGTCAAACAGGACTAATGGTGCCCTCTTTTTAATCAAGCATGCAGTTTGGAAGTGTTTTTAAGTACTGATCATTTCCATGATGCACCCTGAAAAGCATATTGTGGTGTAATTCACCACAATAATGGTAAATATGGTCATGCTGTCTGGCCCTGAGGGGTCATCAGCTGTTTTGTAGGTTGTCTAAACAGTAAGGACGTATGTGTAATGATGCTGAAATGGTGGGTCAATCAATTCAAATCAGTTTCTTTGGGTTTCATCTGAACATCCTCCATTTATTTTACCAAAGTAACCAGAGGATATTAGTTTATACCCAGAAATGCACCCTAGGTTGAAACTGTATGGTTTAACTATCATTAAAGGCATCAGGCTTTGTATTAGTGATCATTTCACTTTCAGAGGCTTTAAGCGCTTCAGACCCCGGGTTCCCCTCTCTCTCTGCCATTGTGTAGTTTGACATTTCTCACTGCATTTTTCATCAGAACAAAGTTTTGTCTCAACAATGTTTTTGGCCTCTGTTAGCTTGAACATCTTGAGATGTTGGAGATGCAGTGCCAGGTCCTGTACATGAGTCAACACGTTAGACGATTTCTACGCTGATTAAAAGCTTGATTATCTACACTGATGCAGTCATAGCTAAGTATCAGTGTCTCCTTAGCTTGCAGTTTCCTGCACAGTGATGAGGCTGTGTTTGCTCGTCATCGTAACCTTCATTTCAGCATCTTCATTCGAAACTCTGAAGCTTATCATTCTTGGTGTCCGATCACTATGAATGGGGTTTGATGACTAAACAGGAAAGTATTGAACTGGGTATATTCACACAGTTATAATGGTCATTCTTACCGACTCGTCCATGTTGAAACTCGACACTTTCTGGGTGGCGTTTTTCTGCTATCAGCAAATAGTCCAAGAGCAGCGAATTGACCTAATGGGCTACCTGACCTTCCCCCCCAACCAGAACTCATCAAAATACACTTTTGTAGAATATTTTTGTGCACAAATTGGTTAATAAGAGGAATTAATATATTGTCACTATTCACTATTAAACAGATATTTGGTGTATTTTCTGTTTCTCATGTTTGAGGTTTTAGCACATTGTTTAGGCCTAAAATGTTCATTTTAATAACATTAAGCTCAACTGTAGACTCTACAGTGAGTGAATTTGCATTATATTAAGACATCCTGATCTTCCTGTCTGCTCCACTTCAGGAGCCCTTTTAGCATCAGTACATGCATAAAATGTGTTGGGAAGGGTAAACAGGGCTGTAAACAGGAGTGAACAGTTACACGTTGCTCAACCGGCTTTGCTCCAGTGATGCTAACTGAAATACAATCCGCTCACATAGCGTTTGATATTGCCCCATCGGGCCTATATTAGCTTTCTCTTTCCGTGTTCAGACTTTACCCAGTATTGGAGTTAATGTGAAACCGTGCTGCTTAAAGGGCCCATATCATTGAAAGCTGAATAGTATGTAAATATGGGTGAAATTTTAAAATATGCAGATTATGAATTTGAAAACATAGGTGGAAACAGCCTGTTTTGAGTTCATTACTTCACATTCATTTGTTCATTTGTATATGCCTTTTCAGCACACCGCAGTTTAGGTCTTGTCACAGATAGGATAGGGAGTGCTTCAGTCTGGACTGAGGCGCAATACAGGGCAGCCAATTAGAACGGAGCTCATTTACATATCAGTCGTAAAGGCAGCAGCCTGTTCAATTCAAAGAAGGCAATTTAAATACAAATTATACTGTTTTTGGTACATAAGAACATACAAACGACAAACAAGAGTGTGGGATATGGGCCCTTTAATGAAACGTTGTTGTGAAATATTAGAAAATATCTTAGTTTATCCTGATTGTAATCTGTCCCAGTGCTGTAGCATGTAGGTTAATGAGAAATTACCTCAGCCATCTGTTCCCGGCCCTTTTTAAATGTATTCCAAATCTGCTGGATGCGGTGCAGTTTTACAGGCTGAGAAATTAGGTTTCAGTTATCTGATGTGATCAGGCATCACTGCAGGCCTGATTTGTTTTGAGTAACACGGCCCACATAATCCTCTTCACATTTGACGCTGATTTTACTCGCTAGAGGTGCTGGGTAAGATTCTGCTGTATTGACTTAATGCTAATGTCATCCTGGTCTGAAATGAGCACAGGGTTGTTGTGATGTGCATATTAAAATTGTTGTTTTTTGTTTTGTTTTGTTTTATAAGGAGGTTGGAAAACAGTACGCCCTGTGAATCAAATATGAATGGTTCATATCTGAGATATCCCTAATTTTCCCAAAAGAGGAAAACAAAACAGTCCCTGTGCCCAGCACTGGAAAACATTTACACTTCATGTGTATTTAAATGCATTTGTTGTCTGACAAAATCAGAAAATTAGGCTTTTATGTTAATTATGCTTTGACTTTGACCACAAAATTAAAAGCAAAATGAGATTTCTGCAGCAAAAACATGTATTATGTTGTGATGCAAAAACTGTAATACATATTATATTGTGTTATTTATGCATCATTAGGCGAAGAACCATATTTTAACCCACGCATGTCCACCTAAATTTAGCATAATAAGAAAAAAAAGCTGCCAAATTTGTTTTGATTGCTCTAAAGCAGTGACGTTTTGCATAGTTATGCCTTAGATTATTATATCTAACAGTAATCATTTGATTTGTTTTTATTATTTACATGTAATTTTCATGCTTTTATTCAAATACAAAGGTGACGTTTGTGTTGTTTTGGTGAAAGCAATGGTGCATGTGACCAAAAACCTTTATAGTAGAATAAAAATAATTTAACTTTAATTTTGCCTGCAGTGTAAGGCAGTTTAACCCTTGTGTGGTGTTGATGTGTTTG